GATTATGCTCTTGTCCAAGAATATACTCTTAATGAAATTTCAAATGCACCGAAAGCGAGATTTGCTTGTTTATTATTTCGATTGCTTCTGACTTTCTTGGGTACTTTAATTCTGAGTGTATTTCAGGCTAACCCCGCTGATATGTTTAATTAGTCAAGTGTTTTTTTTAGGTATAGCAATTACTGAAGTCGTTGTCACTTTCCCAATACAGCATCTTTAAAAAGGATGAATTTCTGATTTACTTTCTTTTTACCAGGTGGCCTCGATGACTCCGTTATTTTAGCGAACGATGCCAGCAAGATATCGCAGTTAAATACCTGGCTTCTTCCGCACTTGCAAAGTCCAGAAAGAAGTTATTGGAAACTGTGTTATAGGGCCTCCAATCATGGCTGGGGATCACGGACCTTTCATAGCTATTGCGATAACAAAGGTCCCACTGTAACGATTGTTAGAGTCGGGATCTATATTTTTGGAGGCTACAACGACAATTCATGGCAATGTAAGTGAGTGAAATAGCTAACTAAGATACCTACCAGGAAGGCTTCAACTGGTTGAATTAAGCCAAAGGGTCGTTGACCATAGATGTTAAAGAAAGAAGAGATGAAGCCTTAACAGTTTTCGCTAGTAGTTCAGAACAACTCTAGTCTTAAATTGAGTTTTGTTTATCACTCGCAATATTGTGTAGTAATTTTGAAAACGTCGGCGTAAGAGGTTAATCAAATACTCACAAGACAATCTTACCTCGGGTCTGTTCTGTTGCACTTTGTAATAAAAAAAATGTCGCATCTTGTAATAACACTTGTAGTCGTACTTTCAATTACCAACTTGAAATGGATCGATGCTCGGAAGACAAGTAAACCCGATCTGAATAAGTATCATCATCGACAGCAACAGTAATAATAATTACTCAACTGAACTAATTTCAGCTCCACTTCTCAAGTGGGGGGGGGAGGAAAGTGTTCACATCAACTGCGGCCTTCCGCTTCCAGATCTTTGTAGGGAGTGAGTTCAACTCTTTCTGAAAATAAGATAAAATAACCAAATGGCAAATTTTGAGTTCAATTTTTAACAGATGTTATTTTTCTCCGAATTTCACAACTTGCTGATTTCTTTGCTTTCAAAGCATCGTTTTAAGCACATATCAATTTTTCTATAATAATTACCTCGATTTATTCGGGTTACAAGTAAAATGGAAAACACTTAGTTAATTAATATCTTAAACATGGTGGATCCAAGATGGCGGATGGTTCCAGATCCTTCTTTAGCAATGAATAACGTCGTCATGACATCACCACTATTGTTTTGGATAATTAATGTGTTACTACTAATTATTGTATTATTCTATTTGTTATGTCGATGCTGATACTTCTTATTGTTGGGTTTACTTATCCTCCGACCAGGCATTTTAAGTTCATTACCAATTGCGGCAAGTGTTATTACAAATTGCGACAGCTTGTTTATTACAAAGTGCGACAAGTGGTATTACAATGTGCGACAATTTTATTATTACAAAAGTGCGACTGAACACGGGTCACAACGTTTTTGTAACATAAATTGCATTTTAAACATTTGGAGTCAGTATTATTCGTCTTAAGGCACACTTTGAAAAACTTTTGTGACAACCAGTCAGCTTGTCAGTAAGTTTGAGTAGTGCAAGTCTGACACATTTTCCATGCATTATCGGTGATGACAATTCTTTTAGCCACAGGCTCCTCCTTGTAAATAACGGCTTGGCCGTTTGTCTTCTTGTTCGATGGGAATCCGCCGTCCGTTTTAAATTTACTAATGGGGAACTCCTGGGGACGAATTGAGTTGCAACTTATGATACTCCAATTCACGAGGATTTGAGCCTGATTTATTATTTATTTCACACATTAGGGACTTGTCAGAAATTAGCAGGGGGAGGGAAGGTGGAGATTTTCAGTTAAGTGCTGAAAATAAAATGACCCTCCGTAGGTAAGGGATTAAAATGTCCCGACCCTCCCTTGGAAAGTGTCCTAAAATTCTATGACCCTCCCCTGAATAAATGATTAATTAGCCAGACTTCTTATACAGTGGTACAGGGAAAATAATTCAGTACTTTCAAAAAAGCAAACTTGTATTAAAACTGACCTATGACGAACATGCAAGTGTTTTTTTCTGTTGGGCAAACAGGGCAAAAGAGAGTTTTTGGTTTCAATGGGATAATAACAGTTTTTTCTTAACGACTATACGAAGCAAAGACAGACCCAANCCGTCCGTTTTAAATTTACTAATGGGGAACTCCTGGGGACGAATTTAGTTGCAACTTATGATACTCCAATTCACGAGGATTTGAGCCTGATTTATTATTTATTTCACACATTAGGGACTTGTCAGAAATTAGCAGGGGGAGGGAAGGTGGAGATTTTCAGTTAAGTGCTGAAAATAAAATGACCCTCCGTAGGTAAGGGATTAAAATGTCCCGACCCTCCCTTGGAAAGTGTCCTAAAATTCTATGACCCTCCCCTGAATAAATGATTAATTAGCCAGACTTCTTATACAGTGGTACAGGGAAAATAATTCAGTACTTTCAAAAAAGCAAACTTGTATTAAAACTGACCTATGACGAACATGCAAGTGTTTTTTTCTGTTGGGCAAACAGGGCAAAAGAGAGTTTTTGGTTTCAATGGGATAATAACAGTTTTTTCTTAACGACTATACGAAGCAAAGACAGACCCAACAAGATCAGACAATTTTCGCGAAAAAAGTTATACTTCTGGGCCCAGTTGTTCGAAGGCCGATTAGCACTTAACCCGGGGTTAAATTTAACCCGGGTTTCTTTTTCTGGCGTTCAAAAGCATTTTCTCGGGTAATTTTCTCTGTTATTTTTAGAGTCTCCAATCATCAACTTGTAGACAAAAAGAATTAAAACTGAAATGCTTTTTAAGCTTTCAAATCTGAATTCAAATCTCGCACTAACCCTGGGTTATCTTAACCCAGCTTTGAACAAGTCGGCCCTGAATGTTGTTTCAGTGGGGAACCCCTTCAAGTGATGCTCCAGCCAGGGGCCAATCACAAAACAGCAGGCAAAAAGAAAGCAAAACAGAACAAAATGAAGGCTAACTGTAGCGTGGTAATTATGAGAATTATTACACCCTAGCCACTCAAGAGCCATGATGCAGAGCCCATGGGGCCATACGCTTCAAAGTCTATCTTGGACTGTATTTTCCTTCATCGTATTCTTGAAACAAACCCAAAATAAGTGTATCAAGCGCTTGATGCATGACTGCTTAATAGAGGTGACAACACTAAAACTCTAGTTGGGATGGCGAAAAAGTGGCTGTGTCCGCTTAATGGAGGTTGAACTGCATGTCAGGAAATAATCGCCTGTCATGATTTTTGTATGATCACGATCGTGGCGGCTATATATCTTTTGCGACCCTCCCTCTTTTCCTGTCATTTTTTTTATAACCCTCCCTTTTGAGGGGCTCAAAAAAACTGTGACCCTCCCCTGTTTTCCCCCTCCCCCCCCCCCCCCCCCTGCTAATTTCTGACAAGTCTCTTATATATTACTTTCCCCCTCTCCGGGATTTATTAACCAACCATCGTTTCCTAAAAATAGACCGTTTTACAGTTATGGGCTTTAATTTGTACCCTAGACTTGGAATGAGTGTAAGGCTGAGGATACAAACCTCCTTTGTTTTCTTATTTGGCGGTTTGAAATATACTAGTTAGCATAAGAAAACAAGATTTAGATAAAAAAGCAGAAATCTTATGCTTGTATCAACACAAGATCATCTCCAGCCTTGTTTCCATCCATGACTGTAAAATGGTCTATTGAACTCGACTGAGTTACATTGTTTGTGTTCTGTTTTTTTTTTTGTCTCTTCAGGGTCTACTGGTTATCAATATTCGACAAATACTTTCTTGTACTCACTAAAAAACTACAAGGGGTATGGATACTTCAAAAAGGACATAACTGACGGCTACTATGACTACGCCACTTACAACTTGTATAATCATGGTCCAACCTTTGGTGGGGGCAATGATATGTATATTGCGGACAATGCGGGAGGAAATACCATTTCTTACTTTAGTTGTCACTCGTACCGCAGTCCCTATTGTGACAATTATCTCTGGGTTGGATCACGATACGGGAACAGTTTCCGCCCAGATGAGTTGGAGGTTTATTATGAAGTGCTTGCTTGAAATTGGGCAGCAACAAAAAACAAAGGAAACAAGAAAAACAACAACAGTAACAACAACAAACCAGCGAAAAATAAACAAACAACAGCAATAAATAAATTAATAAGCAGAAGATTCAACAACAAAATGAGGTGTTAAAGCACCAACAGCGGTTAGCCATAGCACGACTAGTTTTGTCCCTATGATGGACCATTTTTGTTGGTAGCATAGTTCCATGGTAGGAATTTGCTAAAAGGGAGTGTTTTCCTTTGTTAGGACTTATCCCTGTAGGTGTTCTTAGGAATCTCGAAGGCGATTTTGTTTTAAACTGATCAAACGGAGAAATATTATTTGCGTTAATGGAAATCCCGTCCGAAATGACTAAACTCAGATAGGCACACGCAAATAGTTATTTATTTTTTAATTAAAATAGTATCAGTAACCTATAAACTAAATAGATGGCAATAAAGAGTTTGGGTACCCTGTAAAATATCATTATTTTCTCTTACTGAGCACATATTAGTATTTTCCTCACTGAGCACAGATCAGTATGACACTCCCTACTCTCTAAGATATAATTCCTTTTGTTTGCAAGCTTGGCCACTTTATCATTCTACAAGATTGAAGCTATTCAGTAATACTGTTTAATGTTATCATTGTTTTTTGTTCTTACTTTGTTTTTAAGTATAACCAATGATGTAACGGGCAATGTCATTTATTCTTAATTTAAATGACTATAAACTGAATTGAATTGTCTTAGAGAAGTGAAACAGTCTTCATTGGCATGGGAAGCCATGATTCAAATCCAACATTGTGGCAAACTAGAATTTTGTTTTAGCTGGTTTACGTTTATGACTAGCTAAATCTACGCACCAAGTTGAAGTCATTTCCAAGTACACGTGGTTTTAATTGTTTTCACTCGTTATCCAGACTCATCCACCGGAACAATATGGTGCGTGCTCATGGGCTAATAAGTACTTATCAGTTATTGCTCAAACTAGTAATAACCAAGGGCTATAGAATGCGGGCGAGTTAAAGCTATCAGTTCGAAGGTCAAAACGCTCTTACATTTTAAGTAGATCCCAAATATTGTCATGATATAAACACTTAAAAAGCAAAAGGAATTCGTTTTGGTAAAGCGGTGTTGTTTTTTCAGTACTTTTGCCTTTATCTCCCTTATTCCTAGCACTTTAGAATAGAACCTGCAGTGAGTTTTCTGTCAAACATTTCGTGTTCTAAAGTTCAGTTGTTTAACTGTACGTCGCTGCGTTATTACTTCGTTTCCTGCAACCTAAATTTTGTTCTTCAAGGAATATCTTTGATCACCGGATATTTGTTTACATTTTATGTTTGCCATTCCTGGAACCGAGAAGCTCATCGATTTGAAGCAAAAACATCACCGGTCAGCCACTAGATTACGAGCAATCTCCCCATTTACACCAGCAAACGACGAAAGAGAGAACCAGGAGGGTTAAAGGGAGATCACGATCGATAAGCAGGGAAGCCACAAGGGTAAAGGCCGAGGGAGACAGCGAAATGAGGAGGAAGAAGAATGCCTTGAGCTAGAGAAAGCTCGTGAAAGGCAGCGAAGTCGGATGGGTCAACAAAGCCACAATGAACTTGAAGACCAAGAGAGGCAGTAACGATAATAGGCCATTTCCGAGTTCCCCCGGGCCTCTGTTTCAAAACGAGGGCAGGTGCTCAGCCTTTAATATGGAAATCATTTTTCATTCTCATGCAAATAAAACTCATTTTCACAAGAAAGGTGGTGCACCTAGAGCCTCACTTTGAAAGTGAGGGTTTTTGGAACTCGAAAGTGGCCCAGTGGAGCAATTTCAAAACATAGCCAAAAATTCTAGACAGTCAGCGGCTTGACCCGCGGGCACATAAATTTCGGTTTTCAATGTGGCGGATCGAAGTCAAGGAAAGGCTCCTGACCATATCGCTTTGAATTCCCTGAGTACTGCAGATTCATGAGAATGTGAGAATAATAGCATATGCTAACGATGTGTCTACTGAGCAAATTCTCCAAGGTTGAAAAGAATTTTCTGGGGCAATGTGATTGTCTGGCATGGCATAAATGAGGTGCCTACCATTGTTATAGGAAATACCACTGACCACTATGACCTCTTCAACACGTTAAAAGAAAATGGCGGCCTCAGCGAAACCAACCAAAACAAAACGCTAGAGGGAGCATTTTCGCGTTAGTTATGGCTGCATCTCCTCGTTTCTCGTATTCCTGGAAAATACCTCTTTCCACATTGAAAAACCACCGTGGAAAACAACTTCTTTGCGAAGTTTATTATATTACCTTTCGGATACGATGATGGGGAAGCGAATCGGTGCAACCGTTTCCTTGTAGCAAAAGTAAGGAACCATGAAGGTAAGCTCTATTTTAGGGATATTGAGAGGACAGTGTGGCTATTTTATGAGGTAAATCGTCATCGAAAGGCACCGTCTAAAACAAGTTTTTCCCCGCATTGCTTTCGATTAAAATACGGTTCGAACTTCACTTATCTATTTTGATGATGGGGAACGTTGAGTTTCTATAATAATAATAATAATAATAATAATAATAATAATAATAATAATAAATAATAAAGCCTTTATTTAAAGAGGGTAGCACTTAATAGCCAAAGGCTAATAAACTTGTGGCCCTCATAAAATACACAACTATTTACAATCTAAAAAATATGGTAAGCTAAAATATATAAACAATTAAAATAAAACAGGATTCGAATTTTATAAAAATAAAAAATTATTAAATGATAAAATGATGCAAACATTGTTGTTCCTTAAAAATCTTGGCAAACATGTTCTTTTTAAAACATGCTACAGAATCTAGTTTCCTAATTTCAATTGGTGTACTATTTCACAGTCTTGTTGCCGAAACAGCGAAAGAGCGTCCTCCCTCTGTTTCTCTTCTATATTTAGGACAAACAGCATTAATGCTTGAATATCTAGTGTTGTGGGAGTGCCGCTTATTATTCAAAATTAAGTGTTGAGTTAATGCCACAAAATGTGAAATATATATATATTTTCCCCCTTCTTCCTTTATACTTGGTAGCCCATTCTCGTCATCACAGCCACTCAGCTTAATTTGTAACGAACCAGTGGCTCTGGACGCAACGGAAAATACGAAATTTTTCATTGGCTGAAGGGAATTGAATGCGCAGAGCAAATTAAAAATATAATCTACTGGGCATAACATTTTACTTCCTACCCTCTTGAAATTTAAACATGAAATTCGTGTCTGGTTTACGTTGATCGCGACAATGCTGTATTGTTAACAATTGAATGCAACGCAATAGCAGTGAAGAAGAGAATTTGGGGTTTTCACTGTCACGCGATCAAAATTAAAAATGGAAGCCTTTTAATACAGAAAGTCTAGAATCTGGGACGTGAAAGAAGATAAATATACAAAAAAGCTTTGCCAAGAATCAGGTCTGTGCAATACTTCATTTGCGAGATATTCGGAAAAACGTTTTACCCTAATTTATAAGGTTTTGTATGGAGATGCTTTTTGCTGGGGCACAAATATGGCCGCCGGAAACCAACAGAAACATCTGTTTTTGAGTTTTCCTACTAATGCGTGAATTCTTCGCTTGAGGAACTCATAAAGGTTAAAGTAATATTTATTCTGAGACAAGTAAGTGTTTAGATAACAATATCTCCCAAAATCAGTAATGTTTTTAACCCACATAAGAGCTTTCCTGGCTGTCCGCTAAAAGTCGCATCAAGCAAAAGCCTGAAAATTCAAACGGCCAGTGTTGCAAAACAAAGAACCTTTCAAATTTTGAACAGAAAATTTGTTTGTATAAAGGTTTTAAGGTGCTGTAATACCACATGAAAGTAGAAACTCAGAAGAAGCGATAGTTTCTTAGTTTGAATTTTGTGACGTCATGTGGAAACCAAGAATTGAAGGTCATGTTTGAGAAGTTTTTACGAGAACCTCAAGCCTTGACAAAGAATGTTTGCCTTCATTGTCTGCTAATTTTGCTTCTGTATCGACCGTCGCATTTGGGGAAACTGAAAGGAGGAGTGAATGGTTAGCCCTTTCTCACATAGATTCCTGTGAAACTCACAAAACTGTGAACACCAGAAATATTTATGGAATGTTATTGTGTTACCAGAAATAAGCCAATAAGGCGCGAGAAAACTAAACCGCAAACAGAAGCGGTAATTAGTTTGTGGTTTTGAGGTTTGCTCGTGTATCCTGAACTTTATTGTGATTGGCCAGTACACAATCAACCTTCCTGAAATTTTTCAGGTGTTCACGGTTTTCTTAATTTGACAGTAAAAGTTACAGAGTAAGAATTAGGTTGTGAAGGGAAAGGCTCTGTGGCCGACTTCTTACAAATGTGTGGCAAGAACATATTCTCTCATCCTAACAGTCCTTTCTCGGCTTCCAGTCATGTGCCATTTAGACAAAGACAAACATGGGCCTCTGTGGTTGTTTATAATAAACAGCTAACAAAGAAGCAGCTAGTGCACAATTATTTTTTCTTCATAAATAATTATGTTATTTATCTGATCACTAAATAAGGCAGCACAATGTTCTCAACAATTTGGTTTAAAAGTTCTAAAATAATAGAAAACTTTTAAGAAAGTGTTTAAAATTAGGCAATACAGTGTATAATATGAAAACTGGCCTAATGTAGATTTATTGACAATTTTATGGACAACTGTTGATAAATAAAATAATAAATGAATAACAGCTTAGAGTAGTCTATTTTGCATCATACTGCAGGAGCAAGTGGTTGTTGATGATGACAACAACTGGATTTTGCAGTATGTCACCTTCAATAGGGTGGGTAACATAATAGCTTAAGCAACAGTAATATTCTAATTTAGCTAATCCTAACCACTTCTGCTATCCACCCCCTCCTTGAGCTTGCACACAGCCTTAGCTTACTGAAGCATATGGCATCTTAGTTTACTTGGTTTTTGACATATCATGAGCCAAATTAAAACTTGCTTCCACTGATCATTGATTAAGTTCTGCTAAAACTCTTTCCTAGTTG